CAGCGTGGGGCGTGGGGGCTGACCTCTGCCAAGGAGGTCCACAGGGAACGTGATGCGAGATAGGGCATGGTCCCAGGCAGGAATCCCGTCGTTCATCACGTAAATTTAATGCTTGGCAATAGGGCAGGAACCAAGACGTTTCTAGAGAGCTCTTCCCAGGAGAGAATTGAGGGAGAGGGAAACTCCCCAGGAACAGCCCTGCAGAGCCAGTTCGGTGCCACTTTCTGGGATCCTCACTCTCGGGAATTTGAGGGATCTTTGGTGCCCGGTTCCCCTCTAAAGAACCCAGGCACAGTGCTTTGATTCTGTTTCCTCTGGTTCCCACAGAGGCTGGTGTTTGGCTGAGTGCCCTGGCGCTGCCCAAGGGGTGGCGTGCTTGGGCCAGGGGAGGAAATGGCACCAAAGGGCCACGTTCGGGTTCCAGACCACGTATCCTTGCATTTAGGACGCCAAACACTTAGGACATTCCTAGCAATCTCAGTCGAAAGCCAAGAAAGACATGGTGATATTTCCTAATGAGTTCTTTGGCCTGTTCAAGCTCCACCTCAGAACGTGGCGTTTCGGCCGTCCGTCTGGTTTGTCGTCACCCATTCTTCAGTCCCAGTGACTCCTCAGCCCCGGGGAGGCGAGAAGCGCACAGGGCAGGGGAGAGGGTCAGGGTTAGTCATTGACCGGAGCCCCCAAGGGGAGCCACAGCCTCTCTCATGCTCGTCACCCCTGTGTCTTGGGCTGAGCAACAGGAAGGCACACTGGGCTTTGGAGTGGCCTAGCCCTACGTAACTTAAGGGTGCCAACTCCCTTAATGCCACCAGCCTCTGCTGCTTTGGTGGGCATCTTCTGCTCTGAAGACCCCTCGGGCCCCACTGCTAGATTTGCTCTTTGCAATCAATGCCGTTTGCTTGGCTCCAGAGTCCCCTTCATTCCAGGCTTGGAACCCCAAGTGTCCAGGACTGCATCCGGCACCCCAGAGAGCTCTCCCCAGAGGTCACTTCCCCTCAAGGGTTACCGCGGGGTTGAAACGTGCAAGGGCAGGAGGCCCTTTGACCTCGGCCTGCAGAGCTGTCTCCCAGTTCCTCCCGTCTGGATTGCTCAGGGTCATTTCCTGCGACTTCCCCAGGGCGGCTGGGGGGTGGTGTGGGTTCCCCGGTTGGCGCCCGCAGCTGGCTCACCGGGCCACGGGTGGAGAGAGAGCCGCTTGGCCCGTGGAGCCGGGAGCATTGTTCCTGGATCTGAAACTTTCATGAGACTTGGGGCAGACGCATTTTGGGCGAATTGGTTTCAGCTTTCACAAAATGCTGATGTTGATATTGTTTACGTCTGGTTGCATTGTTTCTCACTTTAAAATTACAGCTTTAGTACATTAAGCTAATTTCATAATACCGCATTAACTTAATATTCCATAAATCACACATGTCAGATCGCATTGTTACGGACGCACAAACCCCAAATTTACTGCCCACACTCTCCAAACACATGTATTCGTGATCTGCTCCAGTGAGCCCCGAGCCACCATATAGGGTTAAGGAATTACACGTTCCAGTGCCGGGCACAGACCATGCTCGCTCTCTCTCTGCGATTGTTCTCCATACAAATTGAAACAATATATTTCCAGCCATTTTCATAGTTGTAATTACTAGCAAAAATCGTAATACCGCGAACATATTTTAAACACCTGCACTTTGGGTTCAATTCATTTTTTTTTTTTTTTTTTTTAAGCTGAGTGTTTTCATTTGAATAAGGTTGGTGGCAGAGGCAGGGCATGTTTTCTTTCTGGGGAAGATTGTAACTTTTGACTTGGAAGGAGATAAAGAGATTGACAGAAGGGACTCAGCTTGCACACTGTCCTCCTCCCTTCATCCTTCCGCCCCCCCCCCTCTTTCTCTCTCTCTCTCTCTCTCCCTCCTCTCTTTTCACCTTGGCAAGAGGGACTTAATTGCAGCTAGATTGGCTTTGACGTCTCTCTGGTCCTCTTGCCCGGGTGCAAAGTTCTGTGTTAAGCCCAGCTTGCGGGTTCCAGGGAACAAAGGGACGCTGTCCGTGGGGGAAATGGTGGTGGGCTGGGGCACCGAGGAGCCTCTGTAGGGTTTTAAGCACACACTGTCTAATCGGGTTCTGACAAGTCCATTGTAAATCAAAGGTCTGGTAAGTGGGGATGCCAGAAATGTTTGATCTCCTTCCAAGCCTTGAAACAACTTGCTTATTTTTTCTGCAGTTTGGCTCCTCACTAAAATAAAACATTGCGAGATGAATGTTCTGACGGGTCATTGTGTGTCAAGCTGTCACTCTGTAATGGTTACATATTTCAGCTGGATCGAGGTGGTGCCGGTTGGGGGAGGTCTGGGGGAAAGAGGGAGAGGGAGAGAAGGGAGGGTAGGAAGGAGACAAAGAGTAACAAGGTTTCTGCTTTCTCCTTGTGGCTGAGCTTCATTTAAACCAAACACTTGTCATGTTCAGGGGAAGTTTTATAAATTTTTAATGATATTGGGTACAACTGGTGCTTTGAAATTTGCTGTACTTTAATTTTTTCTTCGTTAGCAAAGGTTCACTAATGCATTGAAGTGCTAAGAGCGTATCCTGGGGATGCCACGATAATTGTGTTGTTAATAATATTGTGGCACTGGTAATGTTCTCCTGGTAATCAAGGCATGAGATTTTTTTTTAATATATTCAGTTATTACACTGCATCTCGTACAAATCATGTCAATTACAATTGCCAGCCTGTGACAGTTAAAATAATTGTATACGTTTTCTAGAATTTTCCATTGGCTTGGCTAATCAAGCTAAAAAAAAAAATCAACACATTATTTGCATTAATTTTGTTTCTAGTCTATTTCCACTCCTAAATCATTTGTCCACCTACTTCAAAAGGCAGAGCAGTAAGTATTTTAATAATAAATATACAAGCACATTCACACCAACCTAATTTAGGAGTACTCCTATAGGTCTGGCAAGACGGAATCATCTGGTAGGAATGTTTTGTGTGGCCGGGTTTATGACTTTAGCGTGCATGCATGCTGATATTGAGTTCACATTGTATACACACGGGATATGTGGATGCTGTGTTTATATAGACAAATCCTGTAAGAACATTCGTCTTAGCATTTTCTATTTCTGTGTTCGGTCTGTAGTTCTGTCTAGGTCAGGGAAATCGCATGATTTTGGTCTTTCCTTTTGGGCTTCACTGAAATAGCTCAATATTCCTCTGCACCAGGCAATGATGTATGTAGTGCTTTGCAGAGCGGCGCTGCACATTTGCAGCTCAAACACTGGCCTTCCACTTCCATGAGCTCTATCTCCTGACCGGCTCCGTGGCTTTCTTTATTTGGAACTGAAATAGCTTAAACACTCGAAAAGCACTGAACATGTGAAACCGGCCGCACACGGAATCCCCCTGTGGTGTCTCAGCAGATTTCCCCGAAGCCTCTTCTCTTTTCTCCTTCACCCAGTGTCCCTCCCTGTCACAGCCAAGCGCGGGGAAGGGGTTTGGTGACACAGAGGCATTTTGAATGAAGACCTCGGGGGTGCACGGGAGAAAGGGAAGAGATGCTCTCCGAGGGTGAGGGGCGGGACCGTGTCCTGCCTGGCTGGCACTGCACATGGGGACGGTAGGTCCGGAAGCTTCCCAGGCAGGCCCTGAGGAGTGAGTCAGCCTGTCCTGTGCAGAAGAGAGACCGAGAAAGCAAGCAGGGAGCACAGCGATTTCTCAAGGAGCCCTCCCACAGGAAGGAGCAGGAGCTCTTGCAAAACAGCAGTGGCAGAGGATCTGAGCAATGACAGGTGGACATGCTGGGGTTATTTGAGAAACTACCCAGCAGCTCGGCGATATTATTTGGAGAATAGTAAACAAGCTCCCCCAGTCTCTGAGGCCCCCCTTCACCCCTCCCCCACCACCCAGCCTCTCCACACCCTCCCTGGTCGTGTCCTATGGCGTCAAGCTTTTGCGGGAGGGTCAGCGGCTACAGGTTACAGGGGGTCAGGGCAGCAAAATATTTCCCCCCCCTTTTTAATGCAATCATATTCTCTCTTAAACATGGCTTGAACAAATCATCTCTCGAAATGTAGAATTTATTTCTCAACTTTGCCTGGAGGTACAACGGCAAGAACAGATTTTTTCCCTCTCCCTGGCCCTCTGAGTCCTGACCATACAGAATGGATGGTTTTAGAACTGTACACGGACAGGAAAATCAATGCGTCATACCAGGAGGCTTCAGGGGTTAGGTTCCCATGTCCATGTCAACAAGGCTATTGGTTTTTTTTTGTTTTTTTTTAATGCTCCAAAGTTATCACTTCCCGGCTGCTAGAGCCACCACTGTGACTTGTGTGGTCAAACCTTAACAAAAGAATTTCCCTCTGCCCACCACTCGGTGGCACGGAATTTAATTACCGCGCAGAGAGAATTTTTCTAAGTATGACAATCTAAAACAGACAGGCTCCCCCCTCCCCCAACCACAGACGCTCCCAGGGCAATGGGCCGGTGCCTTGCAGAGGGGACCAGGGATCTTGTTGGGAGCCGGGATGCCAGGCGTGCGCCGGGCCTCAGCCCTGGGGTGGGATTGCGGGCGACTGGTGGGTCTCTGATACTTCTGGGAGCTCTGAGAATTCGGTTTGTGGGCAAAGAGGGCGACCCGGCCTTCTTGGGGAGGGGGCCCCCTTTCCGTTGGAAGGCACAGGGGGTGTGGACAGCAGGGACTGAGGCCACCTCTCCCGCTTGCTTTCACTGTCTCCTCTCTCTTAAAGAGGCTTAATCCGTCAGGAGAATTGCGTGCTATGGGGAGGCGGAGTGGGAGACCAGGTCGCCTCAGTGAATACTTGCGGTCACTCGACTATAAACTGAGTGTCCGAAAACGAGGCTTAAACCTTTGTGGGTCGAATCAGCCCGACAACACCTGCCTTTGGTGTGCTGAGCTGGGCGGAGCCCCCTTCCCTGGGGGCTCCCCGGCGGCACCCCCCGTAGGCAGCCCCAGAACGTCTCAGCTGCAGTGGGTCCGGCCCCCCCCTCCCCGATGACGCCCGGCCGGCCGGGCAGACCCTGCTTGCCCTCCCAAAACGGCCCTCTGATTCGGGCTTCCGTGCGCGCCGCCCCTCCCCCAGCCGGCCGCTGCTCCCCGGCCGGCCGTCCTGGCGGTGACACAGAGCTGAGGCCGCCGCGCTGGAGGCCGCAGTGAGCATTGCTCACTCGCAGCAGCGGGCGGATGAAAAGGCAGTGCAGATGTAATTTGTTTTCAATGGCTGTTTCAAAAGAATAATTGTGGTGACATTGCGGGATCAATATTATAGATTTTTGTTTTCAAGTACACTGTATGTGTGGTGCTAAGGGGAGGCAGGAAATACAACACTGCAGCCTGAATACAATAAAAATGGATTGAGGTCTGCGGGTATGTGTCGGCCGCTGGCCGTGGCGGGTTGGGGACATCATCGGCGGGATTACCGGCCTTGTCCTGGGGGGCCGGTGCTCCCACGGGGAGTGTGGGCACACTTCCTGCAGCTTTCGTCTTTGGCCGCCCGTGGGAAGTAGCCGGAGGTGAGCTTCCGTCGCCAGAGCCTCGGCCGAGCTGCTGACAAGTGGAGGTGGCTTGGGGTGGCTTGGGGTGGAGATCGGGACACTTCCTCCAGGAAACGACGGCAGCCCTGGTCCACACGGGCGGCGGCACGCCCCTGGCAGCTGCGTGTTCCTGCAGCTCTTCCCGTGCCCTCTTACAGCACCCGCCTCCCCACGCGTGTCTGGGGTCCCCGGTTGGTGCAGGGACATCGGCTGGGGTGGGAGCAAGTCCCCAAGCTCCCCTCGGAACGCCCCGGGATGGGGACGGCGTGCTCTTCGGAGAAGCACTCAGCGCAGGGGGAGCTCCTCTGACCGCGAAGACTGTCGCTTTAACGCCCCGGAAACCCCCAGGCCGGGGAACCAAGACCCCCTGAGTGAAAGGCGGGTTTCAGACTCGGGGCGACTGGACAGAAATGCAGGCCCCAGGGTGAAAATCGTATGAACAAAGAGTTGGTAATAAGGCTGAATAAATGCGATGAGGTGTGGGAGAGAGCAGGGCAGACGCTTTCCTCCCCTGTCCTTTGTAATTAGCCCTTGAAAAAAACGGGTGCCCTGGCAAAATACCCTTCTGGTTGCTGGGTTCAAATTGTAAATGAAAATAATGTGTTTGAGGGGGGTGGTGAGAGAAGCGTAAAGTCGAGAGCAGGATTTCTACCTGGTCCCCAGGAGGTCGCCCAGAATGAGAGAGCTGCAGCACCCTGTCCAATCCACTCATTTGACAGGCGGGGAAACTGAGGCAGAGCTGTTCCTAGGATCCTGTTCTGTCTCCCAATGAGGTTGAAGAAACAGCATATTCTGACATCCAACCCAAAGCTCCCCAAACTCGGCGAACTTGGCTCCAGTTTGAGTGCATTTTGTTTGGAAATCGCCATGTCTTTTTTGTTTGTTTGTTTGCTTTTCCTCTCCTCTCCCCTCCCCCCTCTCTCTTTCCCCTCCTCTCTCTCTCTTTCTTAATTGAGGACAAATATAAAACCAGGAGATCTCACAACAATCCAGTTCTGGATTCTTCCGGACGACGAGAGTATCCAGCAACACGGGACTCCCCTGCGAGGCGCCATCTAGCTGGCTCGGAGTCCCTCGCTTTGGGCGAGGTCCTTCCCCCCTCACTCACACGCAGCCCAATACAAATCCGAGCTTGCGACCGGCCTGCTGTCCTGCTCTGACATCGACCGACACTCTTGTCCATTCGGCAGAGAGGCAGGTACGAGGGGCACGCGATCCTCAGAGCGAGGCCTTCCTTAGTCCCTCTAAGCCCGGAATGTGGTCGGTGGACGCGAGCTGATCCGCGCTCGCCGTGCCCGCGAGCCCCCGTGTTAGGGGAGCGTGTGCCCGGGTGACACCCACTGTCCGCGGGGAGTGAAAACCAAAGCGTCTACGAACCTCAACGTAGCCAGATGTTTAGCGTCCACACTTCCCGAGCATTTGGTCCGATCGCCGTTTGCCAAGCCCCTCGCCCGGGGATTAGCCGAGAGAGAAGGCCTCCTCGCAGGGAGCCCAAGGTCTAACTGGAAAAAAACATCCCATGGATTACGCACGGTGTAAACTCAGATACTGTTTGCTGGGATCCTCCTGTTGTACAAGGACCTGTGACAAGTCCCTGGAAACCGGAGATACCCACAAATGACAGAGTGAAAAGGGCCGTAATTCATGTGTCGGGGGGCATGAACCTAGGTTAGAGGGATTAGCATCTTAGTCACTAATTTAACAGATGTTTATTGTCACCTATACCTATTCATGGGTCCAGCCACCACTTCTTACGTACGGAGTGAAATCCCAAGCTCGCCGCTGGAAATCAGTTGTTGGGAAGAATATTCACTCACTTCCATCTTTCAAGGCCGGAACCGCGTGGGGCTGTGGCATACATAGCAGGGGTTTGTCTGCAGCTTGTGTTCACTTACTGTGCAGGGCTGAGGGCCAAGGTCTGCCTGTTTCCCGTCCCCATGCGCTGGCCCCAAGGGTCCCTGTGGTCCCTTGGGTGTCAGCTGAGGGTGCAGGTACTGGTACATCAGTGGCGGCGTGGGGGTCTGGTCTGCCAGCCCACTTGTGCCCCGTGGGCCTACTCATGCCAGTGCCAGGTGAGGTCCTTGCATTTTGCGGTGGGTGATGTCTGCATCTACCTGACCTTGTGACTCACTTGCTGGCTCTGACAGAACCCAGGTGATGAAGGGCAGCTCTCACTGCATGGTAAGGCAGTTTGTCTACCAGGGCCCTGGAGTAGACACCATGAGCTGTTGTTTTTGCTTTGTTTATTTTTACATGGCGCATAATTCCTTCCTACATAGATTCTGCAGTTTTTTTTTCCCCCACCTCTGTGACCGCTCTCTCCACTGCGTGATGAGGGATTGCCTAGTTCTTGGTTTCCTTGCAGAGCCTTTACCTGACTTGTGTCCCTTCAACGGAAGACACTCTTGTCACTCAGTAAACGGATAGGAGCAATACTCTGAAATGTGGACTAGCTGCCTCCGTAATCCGCGGGGGCCTCCCCGTCAGAGAGATTTTTAAAAATTTCTCAGAAGTGTGAGATGCAATGATTTGTCCTTTCCTTTGGATGGACTGCCCTGGCATGTCTTTGACCACTGGACCCTTAAAAACTTCATTGATATGATGGGTCTCTGAACTTTCTAAGGGATTGTCTCCCACCCCTGGAGTGCATGTACCTTATCAAGGTTGTCCACCACCATCCTTCAGGGTCTGTCTCATTTTTGCAGGAATCAGACTGGTGAAGTAAATGGCATAGGATGGGAGTTACCCCCTTCCATCCTATGCATATTTTCTGTGTTGGATGGGTGCAGGAGAGATTTCAGAGTCTTCCCCTTGGCCTTCTGAACTGTGATGGCTCTTACATAAAGCTCTGAGGAACCAAGTTGGAGAGCCACCGAATTCCAAGTATGTCCGTTTTGATGGTATATTTTGGGAACTTGGAAATTATCAAGTGCCCGAAATGCAAGATCCTCAGAGCTGGATCTGGGCCAAGATTCCATTTTTTTTTTTTTACCTGACTTCCATGTGTGCACACCCCCAGGCCATTTCTCTAGGATGCAGAGAGGGTAACGTAAGTTTTGTGGTGGCAGAGGAAGAGTCATGAGGCCGAATAGATGCTAACAAACGTAGCGCTTATTGAAGGTGTTCCCGGGTGAGGTTCAAGGGTCCCAGAGCAGGGGCCCCAGAAGTTCACGCCGCCCAGGACTGCGAGTTGGCTTGTATAGGGGGCTAGCTGTTGTTGTCGTCTGTCTCTGGGGGTCAGGGCAGGATGTTTTGCACCTAGGGCACATCTTCCAGCTCTGCCTTGGCGGGAGGTCTGGGCCGAGATGTTCCGTTGGTAACAGGATACAGTTAGGGCAACTGTTCTGCAAGGTCTTCAGGCTTTACAATGCTGTGAGGATAGGGGGAGAGGGAAGGGGACCCAGCCACCAGCCTTACAGGTAAGTGCTGGGGAGAAGTTGGAGAAATTGAATAGGAGGGGCTTAGTCCAATTTGGGGCCCAGTCTGAGAAGCTTGCAGAGGGTTTGATGAAGTAGCCTGGGGTTTCCCGATGTGTGAGACATGCGGATGGTGTTAAACAGCATAAAGATAGTACAGTTGTGTGCTAGATTATGGTGAGTTACAAGGTAAGAAAGTTATTCTTTTTCCAATTCAACACATTTGAATGTTTGCCGTGGTTCCAATGGACAGGCTGAGTTCTCTTGGGATGAAAATAAGTTTCCCGTTGCAAATAGGGCCCGGACATAGACTGTATTTTATGGTATTGGCTTCCTCAACGTCTAAAGGTGGAGTTAGTCCTTCCCTTGTCCTGGTTCAAGAACTATTGGGAGGAAAGCTACCTGCGCAGGAGCTCTTGCACTTTGTCTGCTTAGCTTACTTCTCCAGCCCAGGCCCTGCCGTGGGTGTGATGTTTCTACCTGCAGGATCTTAACCACACAGGTGACCGTGTAGGTGGCAAACTCAGGGGAGTCACCCACATCTCACCAATCTAAACAGGGGCAAAAGGGGTGGCTCTATTTCACCTTCTGGCTCTGACAATTTTAATCTATGTGTGGTATAAAATACTTTCTAGGCCGGGCGCTGTGGCTCACGCCTGTAATCCTAGCTCTTGGGAGGCCGAGGCGGGCGGATTGCTCAAGGTCAGGAGTTCAAAACCAGCCTGAGCAAGAGCGAGACCCCGTCTCTACTATAAATAGAAAGAAATTAATTGGCCAACTGATATATATATATAAAAAAATTAGCCGGGCATGGTGGTGCATGCCTGTAGTCCCAGCTACTCGGGAGGCTGAGGCAGAAGGATCACTGGAGCCCAGGAGTTTGAGGTTGCTGTGACCTAGGCTGACGCCACGGCACTCACTCTAGCCTGGGCAACAAAGCGAGACTCTGTCTCAAAAAAAAAAAAAAAAAAAATACTTTCTAGGATTTACATTGATAAAATACTCGGCTCTGTCGGATCAGCGGGCTCTTTGTAAAACTTGACATATTCTCCCCTGGCATCTTCGGTTACTTTGTTCAGCTGAGGGTAAGGACTCCTCCTCTCTGGAACTAATTTATATCACGCTGGAGGTCAAAGGTGGAATTGGGACTCACAGTTTTCTGATCAACAATTTGTTTGGGGCAAGCAGTCCTAAGACTGTGCATCTGTTATCTATTGCTGCTGCAACAAATTCCGACAGACTCAGAGGCTTAGACAGTATAAATTTACGATCTTGCAGTTCTGTCCCTCAAAATGGGACACCGGTCCCACGGGGCTAAGAGCAAGGTGTCAGCAGGGCCAGGTTCCACTTGGAGGCTCCAGGAGAGAGTTCGTTTCCTTGCATTTCCCAGCTTCTAGAGGCCACCCTCACGCCTCGGCTCACGGCCCCTTCCTGCGTGCTCCAAGCCAGCCCATGCATCTCTCGCCTGCTGCCCCTTCACCCTCATGTCTTTCTCTCTGGTCAAAGCTGGGAGTGGTTCTCCTTTTTCAAGTGGTTAGTTTGGCCCCACTGAACAACCCAGGGTAGTCTCCCCATCTCAAGGATTCATGTCCTCGGCCGGGCGCTGTGGCTCACGCCTGTAATCCTAGCTCTTGGGAGGCCGAGGCGGGCGGATTGCTCAAGGTCAGGAGTTCAAAACCAGCCTGAGCAAGAGCGAGACCCCGTCCCTACTATAAATAGAAAGAAACTAATTGGCCAACTGATATATATATATAAAAAATTAGCCGGGCATGGTGGTGCATGCCTGTAGTCCCAGCTACTCGGGAGGCTGAGGCAGAAGGATCACTGGAGCCCAGGAGTTTGAGGTTGCTGTGAGCGAGGCTGACGCCACGGCACTCACTCTAGCCTGGACAACAAAGCGAGACTCTGTCTCAAAAAAAAAAAAAAAAAAAGAATTCATGTCCTCAATCACATCTGCAAGCCCCCCTCTTGCCGTGTGAGTTAGCACATCCCAAGTTAGGATGTGGACATTTTTGGGGGCGGGGCATTATTCTGCCCGCCACTACCGCCAATTGTGACATATCAGAGTCATATAGGAAATCTTAGATTCTGACTTCTGACCTCTCCTCCTCTTGGAATTCCTGCTGAGACATCCCTGGTTGACGTGCACCCGGCCTCTGCGAGAACACCCTGCTCGGGGCGAGTTCCCTGTCCGAGCTATTTTCTCCAAGGAAGCTGTGTTCTTCATTCCCTTCAACACCTCTGAAGATTTTTTTTTTTCAATTAGGCTTGAATCTGAAATTTTATAGACACGGACACAGCAAAAAGCTGCCTTGACAGGACTTCTGATGGGCTCCCCGGGGGCCGCGTCACAAACAGTGCCTCGTTTGCAAGCAGGTGCCGGGTGTGAATTCGGATTTTTTCCCATCCAACGCGGGATGCAAGAGGTGTCCTTCTGATGACGAGTGGATACAAGTTGGCTGAGCCGTCAGCTTTGAGTGGCTTCCGAGCCTCGCGAAGGCCAGGGAGTTGGTCGACGTCCTGTCCACACGACCCATTCGTTCATTTGCTTCGTCACGGATATTTATGGAACCAGGGCTGCAGGGGAAGGAGCGAGGTTCTTTCCCTCGTGGGGCTTCCATTCTCATGCAGGGGCGTGGGGTGAGACTTAATAAACAAATAAGCCTATGTTGCAATATCTCAGAGAAACTGTTGCAATATCGCAGAGAAATGGGCACCAAGAAGAAACAGAAAGCAGGGTGAGGGGAAGTTGCATGGCGGGAGTGATGGGGTGTTCTCCCCAGGTGGTCAGGAAGCCCCGCCTGGGAGGTGGCGTGCACAGAGCTGTGCTCGGAGCCACTGGATTCCGTCTATCGTAGGCAGGACAGTGGGACGAAGTTCTGAGACATTAACCGGGGTTCATTTGCACCCCTCATTTCCCTGTGTGCCGCTGCTTAGTCTCTTGCCCCCCTGCCCGCCAGCTGCCCCTCAGCTCAGCAGCTGTGGCACCCTACTAACGCTGCTTCAAGGAAGGTGGGCCAGAGCAGAAACCAAGGCCGGGCAAAGCCATGCTTTCCGACGTCTCAAAATCAGTTCTAAGGCTGACGGCAAAGCGTTTTGATCTGTCAGAGCCAGGTGTCGTGGGTAGTGGTCCCCGAGAGCTCAGGGCCTCGAGTTGATATCACAGATAATGGGCACAGGAGGAAAAAGCAACTGATCTCTTGGGTACTAGATGAACCTTCCTCGGGGTGTGCGGGAGAGTAGGGAGGGGGCCACGAGGGCTGGAGTGTGCCCCTTGCTGTCCATGGCAGCGGTGTGCAGTAGGGCGGAAATCCCTCCCGGAAGGTTCTACAGCCGGCGTGTTTTGTAGGCGGGACTCCGGCGCTACCACTTTCTTGTCCCAGATCCACGATCCCGGACTCCAGCCTGTCTCGGCTCTCCCTTAACTTGTGTGCTGAGTGCCCGCAGGGAGTTTCGTTCCCAGACGAGGGTCCCGAGGAACCCACGTGTCCCCAGTGCCCTCCTGGAAACACAGGGGGGCTGATTTGAGCCAACGGGGCCTGGCAAGCAGAGGGCCAGATTGGCCTCATTAGTTATCTCATCACCTAGAAAACGCTTCTGAGATACTTCCTTCGGGCTGGTTGACTTCAAACAGAAAGGAGCTCATTGAATTGGAAACAGCTGAATGTTTCCAATTTGCTGAGTTGCCCCTGCTGAGCCCAGGGACCTTGAGCCGTGGGGGCTGAGCCCCCGGGGTGCTGCTGGTCGGCAGGCCAGTCCTGGCTCCTTGCACGAGAGGACGGCTTTGCCTGCAGGAAGCCGAGCCCGCCCCAGGCTAAGTGCTGGCGTATTAGCGTGAGGGGCAGGGCAGCACGGGCCTTCACTTCACGGGGGAGTTTGCAATATAACCGGCCATGCCTGGCAAGGGTTGCCACAGCCCTGGCTAATAAGGATCGAATCCCAGCCCGGCCGTTAAAACAGCTGGAAGAGCCGCAACCCCGTTAAGTGAGGGATCGGGCAAGTATCTTGACACAGAAAAACTGCGTTGTGTACCCTGGTAGAAATTATGCTTTTATAGTTATTTTTACATCCAAACATTACTCTTTGAGTGCCGTCATATTTTATGAAAACTTTTATTAACATTTCAAAATGACCTTACCCTCACGGTGGGTCTATCAGTCCCAGGAGCCATAACCTATTTAAAACATTTTTATCTTTACAAACACAATAAAGTAAGCTGTCTTCAACATAGATTTGTAGATCTCATTAGAGATACTTTTTAAGAAGGTAGCATGTCTCCAGGGAAGAGAATGACAGGTTGTAATCTTTGCATGCAAAGTTTTCAAACACGAGCACTCCGTGCAAATGGATCGTTTCATCTTTTGAGCACCGTCACCGGATCTGCTTCGTAATTGCTCTGGTATTCAGCAGGGGCGGGGGCGGTCAGGCAGGGGCCGAAAACGGTGAGAGGCCGGGCGGGAAGGAGCGTGTCAGGCAGGGGCAGAGGGCGGGGAGGGGGGGGGCGGTCAGGACTCCAGCCGCCCTGAACCACGCAGGACACCTCGGAAGGGACGGAGCTGGTGGCCCCACAGTGCTGCCCCCAGCCTGGCTGGGCCGTGGGAGGTGGGATGCAGGCTGGGCGGGACGTGGGTGCGGGGAAAACTCCCCCGGGGGGACCCAAGACAGAAGATGACCCCTTTCCCTTGAATAAAGCCCACTTGGTCTTCTAGGTTGCGAATGAAGCTTTTCTCCACGGGAAGTGACTGGCTCAGGTGGCCGTGGAGGAGGGTAATGTCTCAGGAACGCTGCTTCTGGCGGGCCAGCGTTCTGAAGGCTTCCCTGCCTTAAACGGTCTTTTTATGCAGCGAGCTAATGCAGCCTGCGCAAGGCTAGATCAGCCCTGTTTTCCGAGGAGCGGTCGCATTCCAGGCCCTTCTAATTCGTTAGAAGAAATGCAGCCCATCTCTCCAGGAGTCTGCTTAAGAGGACATCATTTCTCCACGAGCTCTGCCTTGGGTCAGCGTGCAGTGCGGCTCGCAAGCCATCCCCTGTCGCGTCCGCTCCCGGGGAGGCCTCTGATGGATTAGGATCCAACAAGCCTTGTCCTGCTCCTGCCTCGGTCCACAGGGCGAGCGAGCATCCCCCCTCTCTCCCCCTGCTCCCTGGCCCGTCTCCTCCGGGGCTAAAAGGCCGGAGAGGGGTCACTTTACAAATGTCCCCTCTGCCTTGTGGGAAACATTGCCGATGAGGTTTCACTCTGCTAGGGCCGGCGACGGTGGCACCGGGGCACAGTGGTCCCCGGGGGCGGCCCGGGCACCGGGCGGGCAGGCTCTGGGAGCGGCTGTCTTTCTGGGTTTCTGACCGTGAGGTGGCGGTGGGCCCGCAGCGTGATGGAATGCTGCAGAGACGAAGCCAGAGCCCTGGGTCGTTGAATGCTGTTACTGTCACCAGTGTCTGCTCGGAGGGAGGAGGACAAAGCCCGTGCCAGCCACACCGGTGAATGCCCCCCACACCCCAGTTCTTATCTTGTAACCATTTCAGTGGCGTTCCTGATTGAGGCTCCGTTTTCTGGGAAGCTCCCATCATGACGCACAGTTCTGCTTGGGCACCCGTCTTAATGCTTTTGGTTGCATGCGGGCTTATCGTATTGTTGTTTGTCTTTTGAATGATACAAATGTCTGGGGTCCACACGCTGCCATCTCACCTCCTCGCGGGCCCCCTTTGTCCCCAGACACCTCCTCCAGCAGAAGAGCCGTGGACTCCACGCCTGGCCGCACGGATAGACCCTGGCTCTGCCCTCCGTGGCTCGGTGGCTACCGCCAAGTGACCTGCCCACCCGGTGCGATGATGGGGACCCACCTCATGGAGCAGGTCAAACCAGTTAACACGCCGGCAACTTGGGGAGTTTGTGCTTGGAAACCCTCAAAGATGGCGGAAGCTCTATTTTTTTTTTTTTTTTTTGAGACAGAGTCTCGCTCTGTCGCCCAGGCTAGAGTGAGTGCCGTGGCGTCAGCCTCGCTCACAGCAACCTCAGACTCCTGGGCTCAAGCGATCCTCCTGCCTCAGCCTCCGGAGTAGCTGGGACTACAGGCATGTGCCACCATGCCCGGATAATTTTTTTCTCTATATATTTTTAGTTGGCCAATTAACTTCTTTCTATTTTTTAATAGAGACGGGGTCTTCCTCTTGCTCAGGCTGGTTTCAAACTCCTGACTTTGAGTGATTCTCCCGCCTCGGCCTCCCAGAGTGCTAGGATTACAGGCGTGAGCCACCGAGCCAAGC